ATAAATAATAAACGAAATGTTACGAATCTGTAACCCCGCAAGCTTTACTCTTTTAGATGAGTTATATGTAATAGTTACCCCTAAAATTGTCATTTTCTTTGATACGTAAAAAGAAGAAAATGGTACGCTAGAGGTGTCACTGTAATATTTGGATAACTTGGATGAATTGTGTTCCTGAAATAAAACTACTCTGAATCTATCAGTTTTTCACAAGAACGTTATATGATGAGAAGGAAACGTTGAAAGGGAGAAAATGAAAATGGGTGAGAGAGAGAGAATATGGAGGATAAAAGGACAACGAAAGGGGCCCATGAAAAGAGAGATAGAGAGAGAGAGTGAGTGAGAGAGAGAGAGAGAGAGAGAGAGAGAGAGAGAGAGAGAGAGAGAGAGAGAGAGAGAGAGAGAGAGAGAGAGAGAGAGAGAGACAGAGACAGACAGACAGACAGACAGACAGACAGACAGACAGACAGAGAGAGAGAGAGAGAGAGAGAGAGAGAGAGAGAGAGAGAGAGAGAGAGAGAGAGAGAGAGAGAGAGAGAGAGAGAGAGAGAGAGAATGAGTCAGTGAGACAGACAGAGACAGAGAGAGAGGGGAGAGAGAAAAGGTGAGATAAAAAGCATAGATAGAGAGGAGGGGGAAGGGAAAAGAAGTGAGAGAGAGAGAGAGAGAGAGAGAGAGAGAGAGAGAGAGAGAGAGAGAGAGAGAGAGAGAGAGAGAGAGAGACAGAGAGACAGATAGACAGACAGACAGACAGAGAAAGAGAGAGACAGAGAGAGAGGAAAGAGGAGGGATAGAAAGGAGAGAGAGAGAGAGAGAGAGAGAGAGAGAGAGAGAGAGAGAGAGAAGAGAGAGAGAGAGGAGACAGACAGACAGAGACAGACAGACAGACAGACAGAAGACAGGAGACGGAGAGAGACAGACAGACAGACAGACACAGACAGAGATTGAGACAGAGAGAGGGGGGAGAGATAAAGTAATAAGAGAGAAGCAGAGAGAGAGAGAGAGAGAGAGAGAGAGAGAGAGAGAGAGAGAGAGAGAGAGAGAGAGAGAGAGAGAGAGAGAGAGAGAGAGAGAAGAGAGAGAGAGAGAGAGAGAGAGAGAGAGACAGACAGACAGACAGACAGACAGACAGACGAGAGAGAGAGAGAGAGAGAGGGAGAGAGAGAGAGAGAGAGAGAGAGAGAGAGAGAGAGAGAGAGAGAGAGAGAGAGAGAGAGAGAGAGAGAAGAGAGGAGAGAGAGAGAGAGAGAGAGAGAGAGAGAGAGAGAGAGAGAGAGAGAGAGAGAGAGAGAGAGAGAGAGAGAGAGAGAGACAGACAGAGAGAGAGAGAGAAGAGAGAGAGAGAGAGAGACAGAGACAGAGACAGAGACAGAGACAGAGACAGAGACAGAGACAGAACAGAGACAGACAGACAGACACAGACAGACAGACAGACAGACAGACAACAGACACAGACAGAGACAGAGAGGGAGGGAAGAGATAAAGTGATATAAAAAGCAGAGAGAGAGAGAGCATTTCTTATCTTTTCACCTTTACTAAATCAATTCATGTACAGATGCCTTACAGACAGAGGAAGAAAAATAAAAGCACGTTGAATAAATAGTTGGATATATTTTGAACTATGATAATACTGTATACATAGCGAATTTCCGTACACAACGAACTTTGAAAACACATTATCTCCAATTCCATGCAATACATATACCAGCCAAGTATTACGAAAAAGCCGAAACGTGCAATATGTCCGTTTTTTTCTCAGTTATACCCGAAAATCATTGAATTAATGACAAGATTTTCGGTTTTTTTCTATACAGGAAAATGATTGACGACAAGATATCAATGACAAAGGCATGTATACAGCTACAGTGATCTATGTGTATCTTGAAGTGTTTTATTGTCATGAGACTAACCGTTTGTTTACATCACGTGACCTCTAATGGGTTTCTCGCAGTCATGTACAATCATGCTATTAGTATGATCAATCATACATTTTATATATCTTGAATGCTAGTAGTAAGTTAAGGAACTGTACAGATTGTGTACATAAATCTCTGATGCTAGTTAGTCAACCATACACATTCTTTATGTATTTTTTAATATAATTTTTCGAACCATATATGTCTATCTCAGTCTGACTAGCACGTACAGAGTGTATACAAGAGTCAGACATGAGTATGATTGCCTAAAACACTGTTATGATCTACGAAGGATGTCTATGTGTCACAATATTCATGTATGCATGGAATGATATGTCTTTTCTGTAATATATAAATCCTATGATAGTGACAAAGATCATGTTCCCAAAAAAATGTTCCCGTCTGCATAATTTTTTTTTCAACTTTCAGATACATGTTTTATTTTCTTTTTATTTTCCTCAATGATTTAAATGTGACCTGAGTGACAAATACTTTATTTTCCCCGAGCAATATTTGCAACTAGAAGTCAAGGCTAGTTATAGATTTCTGCCACAATGTGCAACGTGCAAGGTGAATCAGGTGGGATCCCTGTGACATGAATGACATCTTTGACTTCAATTTCCTTTCATCTCCCTCCCTCCCTTCTTCCCTCCTTCCTTCCCTCCTCCCTCCCTTCTTCCCTCTCCTTCCCTCCTCCCTCTGTCTCTCCATTTTTTTCTATTTTTTCTTTCCACCATTCGTCCCTCCTTCTCAGTCCCTACCTCAGTCTCCCCATTTCTCTTTCTCTCTCTCTCCTCTCCTTCCCCAATTTCCCTCCTCTATCTCTCTCTCCCTCTGTATTCTAATCTTTATTCTTCTCTGTCTCTGTGTCTTTCTCTCTGTCTCCCCCCTTTCCCCATTTTCCTTTCCCACTCCCCTTCTTTCTCCTCTTTCCTCTCTGTCTCTATCTATCCCCATCTTCTTTTCTCTCTCCCCATCTCTCACTCCCTTTCTTTCTCCTCCCCAACTTCTCTCTCTCCTTCCCACCTCCTCTTTCCCCTCCCCAAGTTCTCTCCTTCCTCCCTCCCTCTTCCATCCTCCCTTCCCCTCTTCCTCCCTTCCTTCCATCCCTTTCTCTTCCCCTTCTCTCTATTTCTTCTCTCTACTCCATTTCTCTCCTCCTTTCCTCCTTACTAATTCCTCCTTCTTTCCTTACTACATTCTTTCCCTCCTCACTCCTTCCTTCCCTTCTCCTCCCTCCTTCCCTTCCCTTCTTCCTTCCTTCTTCCTTCATTCCTTCTTTCTTCCCTCTCTTCACTCCCTCCCTCCCTCTTTCATATCTTCCCTTCTCCCCTCCTTCATCCCTTCCTCCTCCTTCCTTCCGTCCTCTTTTCCTTCCGGCCCTAATTCCCAGTCTCAGTTCTCTCCCTTCCCTCCCTCCTTCTGAAATTCTTTCCATCCCTGCTTCCCTCCCTCCTTCCCTTCCTCCCTACCTCCCTTCCTTCCTTCTCTACTTCATTTATTCCCTCCCTCCCTCCTTCTCTACTTCATTTATTCCCTCCCCCTCCCTCTCCTCCCTCCCTCCCTCCCCTCCCTCCCTCCCTCCCTCCCTCCTCCCTCCTCCCTCCTCCCTCCCCTCCCCTCCCTCCCTCCCTCCCTCCCCCCTCCCCTACCTTTCCCGCCTTCCCTCCACGGTTTCTAAGACCCTTGCAATCTATGTTGATCTTAAATGATGCAAAAGTTAAAATAATCATCATAAGACAATATATTTGAATAAAACGATAATAAAATAATAAATAGATTATCATAATATCATATTCTTATCATCTTTATCATCAGTATTACCACAAATGGAATGGATGCAAATTATAATAATGATGTGATGTTAATTTCAATAGCAATGATAATAATAATAATAATAATAACAATAAGAAGAAGAAGAAGAACAATAATAATAATGGTAATGCTAATAATAATAATAATAGTAGTAGTAAAAATAATAATAATAATAATGACAATAATGATAATACTACTAATAATAATAACAATAATGACAATACAATGATATGAATATGAATATGAATAATAATGATAATACTAATAACAATAACAATAATATCAATAATAATAAGTAACAATAATAACTACATTAACATTACCGTCAAAAACAATGATAATAAAAACATTAATAATAATAACTGTGATAGCAATAATGATAATAGTAGTAGTAGTAATAATAATAATAATAATAATAATAATAATAATAATAATAATAATAATAATAATAATAATAATAATAATAATAATAATAATAATAATAATAATAAAAATAATAATAATAATAATGAATATGATAACAATGATAATTATAATAATATTGATAATAATAACAAGGATAATAATGACAACAACAATAATAATAATAATAGTAACAACAAATAATAATTGTAGTAGTACTTGCAATAATCATAAAAAATATAATAACATAGCAATCCTAACAATAACCCAAATAATAATAATAATAATAATAATAATAATAATAATAATAATAATAATAATAATAATAATAATAATAATAATAATAATAATAATGGAAAAAATAAGTGTCATTATATTTTTTAAATTATTATTACACCTCAAATCCTAACAATAACCCAAATAATAACAATAATAATAATGGAAAAAAAATATCATCATATTTTTTTTAAAAATTATTATTACACCTCGAGCCACAAATGAGCTTCTTAATAAATACTTACATTGCCTCTTCAAATGTTTTTTTTTTTCCAGTACTGTGTTTCCAAAGTATATTTACACATGGTTTACAGGTGCTTGTGGGCTTGTGAGGTGTAATGGGTTGTGTGGATTACAATTAATAATGATGATGGACTGACAGTGGGTATGAAGGCGCTAACTCTGGTAGTTTTTTGTTATTATTATTGTTGTTGGTTAAAATACAGCATATTTTTTTTCTGATTTTTTTTCTTTTTTGTGGAGCGTTTATGTATGTATGTATGTATATATATATATATATATATATATATATATATATATATATATATATATATATATATATATATATATATATATATATAAACAATCATATAACTTACAGTATGTATCATGGGACAATTCTATCTACAGAAATGTGAAGATGAAGTAATGTCTTCATGCAAGTGCTTTTCTCCGTAAATTAATATTTCTCTTTATAATCTTAATAAGTCTTTTTTTTGCCGTGAATCAAAAATTCTCCTAACCCTGTGAAAAGTTACCGCCATTAGTATCTTTTAAAACCTCCTTTCCAGCCATGTTTACAAAGCAGAAACCTTTCTTTTTTTAATATATACTCGGTCATGTTTAACACAAAAAGGTATGGAGTGTATTACAGCCTCGTCTGTACTCTAATGCTCAACGTGTTCTTAAGTAACACACTTTTAACACACTTTTAATACACTTCTAACTCTTCGGACAGTTTGTTTACATTGGGAGCCACACTTATGACAGAAATTTAGGTCTTTTAAAAATTATTAATTACATGTATTTCTGTTTGTTTGTGGGTTGTTGGTTTGATTTTAAATAGAACAATGAAAGATTTACTTTTTAACCTAAATTCGCGACTAAACGTTATCATTTATAATCCTTTTGTATTACTGTTTTTAAACTAAATTCGCAAGTAAACATTATCTTTTATAATCCTTTCGTATTACTGTTTGATTTTAAAGGCCTTTTCACACCGGATAATGTTATAAAAATATAATTATAAGAGGTTTTGAAGGAAATGCATGGAAAACGTGTGTTATAGATGGAGTAACTGTAACTTTTCAAAACTTGCAGAGATATTAAAACCTTCTGCATTTACTAAAAGAAAGTATTAAGTAAGATTCATTTATATCTCTGTAATTGATGTTAATATAATCTCTATTTACATTCTCTTTAAAAGCCTTGATGGATAAAACAGACCCCATAGTGCCAACCGCTAATATGAGTGATATTGTCAATTATTTTATATCTATGGAAATGGACCACAACCACGCCAAGAGACAGAATCCCTGACTGCAAATAATTATCAATGATCTACGAGTATAGTTGATAATTAAATATTAGTCGTCAGTAAAATAACGAAGATGAATATTTATAATAAATCAATTATATAACCAATTGTACAATAGTTAAGGAGGTGGCTGGATCATATATTGGAAAAAATCATCATTAAATTAATCAGCAGCACTCCATCAACGATAGATAACTGATATCTGAATTATTAAATGAATTATCATTAACTAATCTACCCTTAGATGTTGCCAGATCGAGGGAAAATGAAGCATTATGTACTAAAATTTACTTTCAGAGGTAGATAAGCACCAAATCAGCCAATTAGATCACGTGTACCCCATTCATGGTCGATAAAATGAATCAAAATGTGCTATTTCATTTATCCGGCAGATGTCCAGAGACTTGAGACCGGATAAATGAAGCATTAAAAAACCCAGAGGCTAAGATAAAAGTTTCTGCTTTATATGACAAATCTAACCAAACCAATCAATCAATATCACTTAAATTATCGATATAGATATTCGACAGACAAAACAGATGATAGAAAAAGAAACATATATTCCATCATTCCCCACAGAGAGACCGAAACAGAATAAAATGGCCGAAGGTGTGGTTCATTCTTTCGGGTGTTGTGTGACTCGGAATTTCGGAGCTTCGAGGCTTCAGTAGCGGAGGCGGTTGAAGCTTCGGAGCCTTCCCAGGATCTCTTCCTCGAGGGGTAGTTCCTCCTGGGGCATCGGGTAGTCCTCGTAGACGTCCTGGAGGGAAATGGGGATTCGGTAAAAAAATTTTGGTAGATAAAATGGAAGAGAGAAAATTTTGGTAGATAAAATGGAAGAGAGAAAATGGGAAAAAGAGAGAAAGAAGGGGAGAGGAGAGATTATGATAAAGATGAGGAAGATTATTATTATCATCACTACAGTATAATCCTTACTGTTATAATCATTGTGATTATCTTAATAAGATCATTATTACCAACATTATCATCATCATCACTATTATTTCTTTCATATGCTAATCGTCATCATTACCATATATCAACATCATTTTCATCATCATTTCTGTCTTAATTATCACCATTATTATCATTATAAGCAATACTACCATTATTATCACCGTCATTATCATTAACTCTAATCTTTCATGTCATTATCGATACCAACATCACCAGAAAAATCATCATTACTATAATTTTTACATTTCATCAAAATTGCTAATCATCATAATTATCATAATTTTATACGTCTATTTTTTTCTCAAATTAATCCCGTTTTAAAGTCAGAATAAAAAAAAAACGAAATATTACGAATCAGAATTTCAATTTCTCATTCAGCTTACACTACGAAAGGTAAAGAATGAGTGACGTCATCAAAACATTCCCACGTGTTAGGGGAAGGGGGCGGGGCTTGAGGTGTGGGGAAGGGGGCGGGGCTTGAGGTGTGGGGAAGGGGGCGGGGCTTGAGGTGTGGGGAAAGGGGGGGGGTTGAGGTGTGGGGGAAGGGCGGAGCTTGAGGTGTGGGGAAGGGGGGGGGGCTTGAGGTGTGGGGAAGGGGCGGGGCTTGAGTGTGGGGGAGGGGGCGGGGCTTGAGGTGTGGGGGAAGGGGGGGGGCTTGAGGTGTGGGGAAGGGGGCGGGGCCTGAGTGTGGATATTGGGAAGGGGGGAGGAGGGAGTGGGCTCTGAGTCTAATTCTGTGTATTTGAGTGTAATTGTGTATATACATGTATATATGTGGTGTGTATGTGTGGGCGTGTGTGTGTGTGTGTATGTGTATATGTGTGTGTGTGTGTGTGTGTGTGTGTGTGTGTGTGTGTGTGTGACTGTGTACGTATGTGTGTGTGTGTACGTTGTGTGAGTGTGTACGTATGTGTGTGCGTGTGTCTGTGTGTGTGCGCGTGTACGTATGTGTGTGTGTGTGTGTGGTCGCCCTCTCATCGTGGAGGGTCCCTTCCCCGCCATAACGGAAGCCATAATCAGCTGACCAAATCCCTTTAAACTTTCTTGCCCCCCCCCCCCCTCCCCAAGACCTCCCAGGCTAAAAGACCCCCCCCCTCCATCCATCCGTCGAGACCTCCCTGTCCACGGCTCTTTGAAGACCAAAGACCCCACGCAAACACCACCCTATTTTACCCCCCTCCCCCTCCTCCTTTTCTTTCCCTTCTCTTTCTCATACTTCTCCTCCTCCTTCTTCTTCTCTTCTTCTTCTTCCTTCTTCTTCTCTCTTCTCTTCTCCTTCTTTTTTCTTCTTATTCTTCTTCTCCTTCTTATTCTCCTCCTCCTTTATTCTCCTTCTTCTTCCTCCTCCTCTCCCCTCCTCTTCCCTCCCCTCCCCCCCCTCTTCCCCTCCTCTTCCTCCCCCTCCCCTCCTCTTCCTCCCCCTCCTCCTCCTCCTCTTCCTCCTCTTCCTCCCTCAGCCTACGTCTGCGTGGAGAGGGACCACCCACCCTTTCCAACATGGAGGGTGGGCCTACTCACGGGGACCTCCAGAGAAGACTAAATTTTGGGGGAATTTTAGTGTCTGTCGATCATATATATTTTATTTATTATTTTATTTATTATTTATTATTTATCTATTATTTATTATTTATTATTATTTATTATCTTATTTAATATTTATTATCTATTTATCATCTTTTATTATTTTATTATTATTTATTATTTATTTTATTATATATCATATTTTATTTCCTTTTCTTTTCTTTTCTTTTCTTTTTTCTTTTTTTGGATAAATGATTTTCTTTTTGGTTCACTGCTTTATTTACTTCTCGATTGGAATTTTTTTTCTTTTTTTTTATTCATTTTTTCTGAACCTGTTTTACGTATAGACAGATAGATAGACAGATAGATAGATGGATAGATAGATAGATAGATAGAGAGAGAGAGAGATAGAAAAATAGAGAGATGGATAGATAGATAGATAGAGAGATAGATAGATAGACAGATAGATAGATAGACAGACAGATCGATACATAGATAGATAGAAAAATAGATAGATAGACAGACAGATAGACGGATGGAAAGAGATACACAGATATAATTCTCAGAATCGCCGAACTTCCCGGGTATGGGTATAAGAAGTAAAAGAAGAAGAAAAAAAAGGAAAAGAAAAAGTGAGGCAATCTAAATCACTTAAGAACCCACCCGTGTCTGTCCGTGAAATCGTAATTACCCGTGATACGACGCGGCCAGAACCTCCCCTCTTCCCTCCTCTTCCCTTCTTCTTCTCCCCTTCTTCTTCTTCTCCCCTCTTCCTCCTTCTCTTCCCTTCTTCCTTCCCCTCTTCTTCTTCTTCTTTTCTTCCCTCTCCCTTTCTTCTCTCCTTTCTTCCTCTTCTTCTTCTTCTTCTTCTCCCCTTCTTTCTCTCTCCCTTTTCTTTCTCCTTTCTCCTCTCCCCTTCTTTCTTCTCCCCTTCTCTTCTTCTCCCTTCTCTTCTCTTTCTTCCCTCTTTCCCCTTCTTCTTCTCCCCTCCTCTTTCTCCTTTCTTCCCTCTCCCCTTCTTCTTCTCCCTCCTCTTTCTCCTTCTTCCCTTCTTCCCTCCTCTCTCCCTCCTCCTTCTCCCTTCTCCCTTCTCTCTCTCCTCCCCTTCCCCTCCTCCTCTTCCCTCCTTCTCCCCTCTCCCCTCCCCTCTCCCTCTCCCCTCCTCCTTCTCCCATCTCCCCTTCCCTCTCCCCTCTCCCCTCCTCCTTCTCTGTCCTCCCCCTCCTCTCTCTCCTCCTCCTCCTCCCCTCTCCCATCCCCCTCCTCTCTCCTCTCCTATCCCCTCTCCCATCTCCCTTCCTCCTCCCCTCTCCCCATCTCCCCTCCTCCTTCTCCCCTCTCCCATACTCTCCCCCTCTCCCCCTCCTCCTCCCTCCTCCCCTTTCTCCTCTCCCTCTCCCCTCCCTCCTTCTCCCCTCTCCCCCTCTCCCCTCCTTCTCCCCCTCACCTCCATCGACCATAGCTTACATGGCGTTGCGTTTATGGTTAATGAGCACCATTTGGCCTCCTACCTCGACCGTCCCCGAGTATAGGGGGGGGGGGGGGGGGGGGGGAGGAGGGGGAGGGGGGAAGGGAGGAGGGAGGGGGGAGGAGGGAGAGGAAGGAGGGAGGGAGAGGGGGATGAAGATAGTACTTCCTGTGGCCACTTCTTTCTTGGAGAATTAATATGCACCGTCTTGGGGTAATGGGATCGCCCACCGGTGATCATAGGGGGGGGTGGGGGTGGGGAGAGGGGGGGGCTGAGCTAGACGGGGGGGAGAGGGGGGGGGGCTGAACTAGACCACCCATCGTAGTCCATGCAGGGTGGGCCTATAAAGGACGACGGACCACCCATTCTCCGCCATGGGAATCCGGCCTATGAACACTGCTTTCTTGGGATCTCGGAGGGTGGGCCTACCAGACCACCTACTGGACCACCTGCTAATCGGGGAAGGTGGGCTTCGTGGACCACCTACGACTGGTCGACGAAGGTGGGCCTCCTTCAGCCCCTACAGAGTACGGAAGGAATTTTTTGAGTCGACGTAAGTCTTCAAATCTTTAAAGAAAATTTAAGAAAAAGGGGGTATATCGAGAAGAAAAAAATTAAAGAGGATTTCATACCAAAAGCTCGACAGACTCAACCAGTGATGAACTTAGACCACCGAGTGCCAAGCGTCGAGTCGGACCACACATCTGCCAAAGGGGGAGGAGGCACTACCGTCAACACGGACCACCAGCACAGACCACCAGCATAGACCTCCATCACCAGCACAACCACCAGCATAGCATCACCAGCACAGACCACCAGCATTCCATCACCAGCACACCACCAGCATAGACTTCCATCACACAGACCACCAGCAGACACAGACCAGCACAGACCACCAGCACACAACCTCCATTACCAGGACCACCGGCACTGATCTCCATGGTGGGCCTATGCGACCACACACACACTTTAGCAGTCCGGCGAGGAGGGTGGGCCGCTTAATCCCGGGTGGTCGCTGTCACGGGTAATCAGATCTGTGGGAAGGTGACGGAGGCTGCCACCACGTGAACGAGGGCGGGACAGCTGAGCGGCGGCGGTGGGTGGGAGAGGGCGGTGGGGTGGGAAGGCGGAGGGTGGGAAGGCAGGGGGTGGGGAGAGGGCGGGTGAAAGGGGTGGGGTGGGGTGGGAAGAGGGTGGGAAGGCAGGGGGTGGGAAGAGGGTGGGAGGTGGTAGGGGAAGGCAGGGGTGGGTGGAAGGTGGTGGAGGGGTGGTAGGGGGAAAGGAGGGGTGGGGGAGGGTGGGTGGAGGGGGTGAGGAGTGGTAGGGGGGAAGGCAGGGGGTGGGGAGGAAGGTGGGTGATGGGTGGGGAGAGGGCGGTGAAAGGGGTGGGGTGAGGTGGGGTGGAAGGTGGGGGAAGGCAGGGGTGGGGAGAGGGCGGGTAGGGTGGGGTGGGGAGGAAGGCGGAGGGTGGGAGGCAGGGGTGGGGAGAGGCGGGTGAAAGGGGTGGGGGGTGGGGAGGAGGTGGGTTAAAGGGGTGGGGTGAGGTGGGGTGGAGGGGGTTGGAGGGTGGTAGGGGGGAAGGTAGGGGTGGGGAGAGGTGGGCGGGGAGGAAGGTGGTGGAGGGGGGCGGAAAGGAAGGTGGGTGGAAGGGTGGGGAGAGGGTGGGGTGGGGGTGGTAGGGGGGGAAGGCAGGGGTAAGGGGGTGGTAGGGAGGCGGAAGGGTGGGAGAGGGAGGGAGGGGAAGATGGGAAACAAACGAGGAGAGAGGAGATAGGGGGATAGGGAGAATAATATAGGAAGAGAAGGAGGGAGGGAAAAAAAGGGAAAGAAAGCTCAGGCAGACAAAAAGAAAGGGAAAAGTAGGAAGGGACACAAACACAGAAAGAAAGAGAAAAGAGAGATAGAGACAAAAAATAGGACCTAGAGGATAACAAGAAAGGAAAGAAGGGAGAGAGGTAGAGGGAAAGAATCAAGAAAAAAAAAAAAGAATAAGTAAGCAAAAAGGAGAAAGGGAGAGAGGTAGAGATGGAAAGAATCAAGAAAAATTAAAGCCGTAAAGAATAATAAGCAAAAAAAAGCAAAAGAAAGAGAAAGGGAGAGAAAAGAAGGGAGAAGAGATAAATGAAAGCCGTAAAGAATAATAAGCAAAAAAGAGCAAAAGAAAGAGAAAGGGAGAGAGAAGAAGGGAGAAGAGAGAAATGAGAACGGGGAAACACCACCTCCAGCGTGAGTCATCCGGGACTTCGCTGATCAGCTGATCGCGAGACAGCCAGACGAAACGCCAATTCACGCACACACGCACGTACACGCCCGTGCTCACGAAGACGCACACACACACACACACACAGTCATACATGTGTACATATACGTACGTAAGTACATATATATACATAAACATGCATGCATACATAGTCATGGCCAAGATGAGGAAGGAAATAATAACGATCATAGTAATGATGACGGTGATGATAAAACAACAATAATAATATTCATCATTACATTTTATTACTTATGATTATTATCATTATTATTATTGTCAACATTATTATCATTACTATTGTGATTCTGACAATAAAGATAACAATAACAATAATAATTACCATAATAA